GGTGTTGCTAAAATGGCGATTATTATTTTTTACCATTATTCTTACATATTTCAGTATTGTCGAGCAAGTTCAGATAATGAAGTGTAAGTCCCTAAAACTGCACTGATAGTGCCCAAAGCGAGAATAGCAACACTCAAAATCACCTGATACATAGATGCATAAACAGAGAAAAGATTTCAGTACAATGGACTGAGAAAATTGAGCTTCTAAGTGCAGTAATATCTTAAAGAATAAGTAACAGTATGTATCCACCAAGATATCCATGTCTACTATTTAGTACAATCAAGCAAGAGGAGATGTAAACATCCATATTGTCATAGGAAAATTATGTTTGATCAAGTGTCGATTACCTGCACTCCCGTAGCGTTCTTCCCCACGATTTTTAAAAAGCATAAAGCTGGCATTATTACTGCCTATATCAAAGAAACGCGTAGCATATATATTAGATCTCATCCCATGAATATGCGTCAGCGATATACACAAGGAAGACCCCACATACCATAAGAACGCTAAAAAGAGAGCCGATTAGAGACATCACAAGACCTGCGAATAGAAGACAAAAGTTGAGTTCGATTAGTAATAATTTCGAAAGGCACAAAAACTTGAAGAGAAGAATTGCAAGAATTTAAGTGGTATTACAATGGGCAAGAACATAAGAAATGTCCATCCCTTCTCATCATTTATCTTGAATCTGTAAGTTTCGTCTAATTGAAATTATCTCCACCTAACCCAATCTTCGACAATTTTGGTTCAAAATAAGATATACATCCTTAAAAAAATAGAAATCACCATGACTGAAGAATTTGTTCCAATGACAACTCTAATATCAGGTCTCCATATACAACAGTGTCTAAAAATTCTCTCAAACGACCAAGTTTTCTTCACTGCAATCCTAATGATACCCAATTTTCAATTAGATTTTATAATTCAAAGTTAAAGGCCAATATCCTATTCAGATATTAGAGTTTGAAACAGGGACACGATAAACCAATATCAAAAAACTCATCATGAAACTGGTAGACAAACATGTTATAATCTTACGCCTCAAATAAAATCAAGGAACTAAAACAGATAATGTCAGCACCCTGTGTTGCATGGCTTACCGTAAAAGGGAATAACAAATGCAACGAATAGAGAAGAACCAACAAGAACCGTCCGTAGAAGAATGAAACACCAAAAAGTATTGGAGAGTCCTGCAGGTAGAAGCTCCTCTATACTTCTGGCCAATGGGTTCATTAACAAGGCATATTTGGTGAGCGGGGTGACAACCTGTACACAAAGTTAAACATGGTGGGGATATTTGGAAATAAAAAGTTACCTAAAAGTAACTTTCACTTGTTTAAAGTTTAGAGAAACACGCTCTAAATGAGGAAGATCTCATTTTCTCTTTGCATTACAATAAAGGCTCGAGGAGAATCCGGAGTTTGAAACTCACTGTTGTCCATAATGCAATTTTAGATCCAACCGTATGTTGAGGTAAATTCAAAGTAATCTGTGACTTCGTGTCTTGACCGAACATAAGAAATCCCATGATTGCAGCACCACCGTATATAAGAACACACAAAAAGAAACTGTACAGCCAGCAAACTTAATGGTTACCAAAAATGGGAAGTTGAGAACCAAAAGAAACTGCGATAATCAAAGCACACAATTTAAATGGCGGAAAGAAAGCATAAAGATGACTCTATTACCATACTACAAGTGCTCTGATAAATTTGGTTTTATCGGCCATTGAATGATATATATTTGGGAAAACAGAATGTCCTGAATAGCAAAAACCATAGATGCCAATTGCGAAAGGAATGCCGCTCCAATTTACCACTTGACCACTTGGATGAAATCCAATTCCCTCCGTGGTACCAATTAAGAGCAGACAAAGAATTAACACAACTGTTGCTATCACACCGCCAGCTGCAAAGGGGTAAGTTACTTATAAGTAACTTTTTTCAGTAAAGCGTGGAAAAAAACAGCATATCCAATTATGTTACTTTTTGAAGCTTAGCCAAACATGAATTCATAAAACAAATGAAATGGGAACAATGTACTATAGAACACCTGAAAGGTACGAGATCAGGCGAAGGTCTTTCAACCACACAGTTGGTAAAATGATAAGAGCTGTAAGAATTCCGAATAGATGTGTGGAGTCTAGTTGAAAGCCCGACAAGTCAATAGATGCTCCAGGAAATAGCCGAGTAAGATTATCCCCTTCCAAAATAATAAATTCTACACATGCCGTCTGCACTCGTGGAATGAACGTCAGTTGTATGCTCAAGTACTACATATAGGACCTAGTAATGTGGAAAATCTTGAGAGAGAAGGCAGTTCACTTACATATAGCTCTGAGTACAAAATGATCTGCACCAAAGAAGAAGAATGGTCAGCTAACTTATGCATAATAAGTTTTACACAATTACATATTTATGAACTTACTGATACAAAGATGCGCCCATATTTTCCAAATGCAGCTTCTCCCATGTCTGGAAAGGTCGAGATGCCTTCTTTACTTTCAAAGCAATGTTTCATAAGTATAGCGGTATAACAACAGACAAATGCAAAGAGAATAAGCACTGCTAAACTTGCCCATCCAGCTTCTTTAACCGTATATGGTGTAGAAAGAAGTCCAACTCCCGCCATTACATTGACACCTATATTGTCACATGACAAGCTCTTAATAGCATGGGATAAAACGGTACTCGATTAGTATTAAGAAAGAAAAATAAGTTAAAATCACATCCATTGTATTGTCCAATATGGTCCAATATTGTATATTACTCACCATTGAATATGGTCTGAACCAAGCTACATCCATGGCTAATAGGAAGTTCTCCATTTAGTTGCTCCTTGAATGAGGCCTCTTTTGACCATGATGAATGTGCTCTCACAATCTTGTCAATTTCTTCAGCTTGATGAATTTTCTTATCCTCTGTGAGCAATGGTGCTTTTTCACTCAAGTCCAGGTTATTATTATTATTGACATCGCAAACTGAATAACCAGCACCGGATACACGCCGAAGTGTTCCAAAGTTTGGTGATGCGGCGATTGTATAAATATCAGTTGTTTCTCTGGAAAACGGAACAAAATTTTTTAAGCCAGTTATAAGATACAAAAGTTCTAAAATATAAACATTTCTACTGTATCAAATTGCTCCATATATGGGAGCTTCCATGAGTCCATTCAATCGGTGCCCAACAATCATACCTTAAATTTAGGAGTAGAAAGCAACAAAATGTAAATTTGTTGCAGTTATGTAGGTTTAAACCAAATGCTACTTCTCATACTTGTTTTGCTTTAGACCTCATAGGAGAAAAAGGCATTTGTTGTTGTAGGAAGGCCAGCCAAGTGAAGCTATAAGTTGTTCTCACCTTAAAAAGGACCATTTTTTCGAACATAATCCTCTGTATATATATAGTTCTTAATTATTCTTGTTTTGAATAAAAGTGCATCACATAGAAGCTGTCTTAATTCTACTTTAAATCTAAAATCGTCATGTTCTGAAGTGTCTCTAGAGTTCTAACTTATAATTAAAATCTCTCCTACTCTCACCTAAAACTATGTTATCAAGATTCAAGAATAACAGTTAAATCAAGATTCCGTCTTGAATATATATCGTATGCTCATCCTTAGCCCCTTTTTGGTACAAATTCATTAAATCTTATTTTCAACTACACGTCCTCCCAATAAAATAACTTTACACGTGAATCCATAACTTTTCTTTATTTTTTAACCATATATTCTCCAAAGAGATCGCTTTTTACAAAATCTATTCTAAAAAAATTTACATCAAACAGACCCTTTGTATCATGAAAAGATTATGACTCAAGGCAAAGTTCAATGCAAACCTATAGTAATATGAAATTCACGCACCAACTCTTCAACCACTTCATCTGAAAGATTAAGTGATCGGAGAACGGACAAATTTATTTAAATTTTACTTTTAACACGCCCTGCCGAATTCATTGTTCACCTTCAAAGGTGTGACAAGAGTACAGTTTCGATGTATGTGGTCTAGTTCAACTTGGTAGAGTATGTTTGGCTTAACTTCAATGCTAAAAAAAAGTATAACCTTTCATACTCACACTGCCTTTTGGCTTCTTTTTGTAGCTTTTAAGCTCTGACAAACATGTTCTAACTATATTTCCCAAAGTTTGGCTTTAAATTTTTCTTCTTCTTTTTTCATGGGACTCGGCCTGGCCTCCGTCGTCAAAGGTGTAAAAATAGACATAAACTTACCTAAAAAATTACACTGTATACGAATATATTAATGTTAAGAATTTATACAACTCTTTGTAATCTCCTTACTTGAAACTGTGAGGCCATTGCTGAGAAACCACAGAGGAAGAACGTGAAAACCAACCAGCATCATTATCAAGAAATCCCAGTTCTTCTGTACCGTCCTCCTCCTCCTCCTCCTCTTCTTCCGTGTAACCTCCATCGCCGCCATACCGGCCGGTTTCAAAGAAAAACTCTGCAGCATCTCCGTCTTTCTCCATGTATTTTTCCGCCATTTTAAGCTTTTATACACACAAGCGTGTATATATAGGTGCCAAACAAGCATATAAAATTCTAGCCTAGGAGGACCGCAAAAGTTTCAATAGGATAAATATAGACCGACGATACACGTGATAATAATTTTTTTTTAAAAATATAAATTGGGGTTTTTGGGTGGCTGAAATAGGTAGAATGGATGTAAATGGTAACTGTTGACGAAGAGTGTAGAGATGTACAGAATTTCAGTCAATCATAGTCCAAACGATTTGTTAAAATCTTGGATTAAGCCAAACGAACAGGATCCTATTCCAGGGGCTGACATTTCAGCCCTGATCAGAAAAGTTTTGTATATTTTTTTTAGGACCATGCTACACTCACAGGCGCCAAGTGACGAGTTGGTAAAATATTTTGTAAAACATTTGATACATCCAAATTTATCCTTTTTTTTAACTTCAAATGAGAATTCGCCAAGTGTCTGCCTATTTAAAAATCTGTCAATGAATCGTTGCTATAGTGGGATTTTAAAATGTTTTCTTTGTTGTAAAATAATGAAATAATTGATAATTATTTAGTGTTATCATATAATATATAAATATGTCTTATCTAGTTCAAAGAATTTATTTCATTACAACTGTAATTTTTATTGTAGACCCTATAAATACTGGATTAATTCTCAATAAAGTGTTAAATATTTCATTGGCCACGAAAGTTGACAATGTCACGATTTACTCACCAAACTTTACAATGCTTCCTACTGGTCACTCAATTTTAGACTTTTGCACTTCATCACTCACTAGACGAATATTGTTTGTTTTCTCGTTTACATGGATGACGGAATTAATACGTAGCATTTAACTCCGTCAATAATTTAAATGAGATGCCTAACGTGAAGGACAAGTCAGCGAATCATGTCTCACCAAAAAAACGTCTCTTATCCCCTCATCAAAACGTCCCCAATTGAAATGAAAGTGAAGTCCTCAATTGAAATAACCCTCAGCCCCAAATCCGAACTTGATGTCACGGCTGCCAAGAGAAGTAAAGGTTGACGTCGAGCTCGTGCATCTTCTCCAGTGTTGAGCACAAATATGAGGCTTAAGGTTTTTATTTGTTTTGAGGTTTCTGCTGTCTCGGATTTGAATGTTTCTGTGGAATAGGAAAAAAATTATAGTTTTGGTTTCTACATCAATAAATATGTTAGGATTTTCTGTTTAATTTGAAAATATTTTTATGATTCTTTCATGGGATGTTTGCAAGTGGACTTCATTGCAATACCTTTAATGGAGAATAAGCATTAAATTGCCATTCTAACTTATTGTAAATAATCGGGGGAAAAATTTGTCTTCTTGTTTTTTTGGACGTGTTCACGTAGATTATTAGAGTTTTGGTGTTGTGTCGTCTAATTTGATGTTGTTATATTGCATCATTTGATATTTGCTCATTGAGAATACACATTCAATTTTAACAACACTTTAGTAGAGCAGTAAATCATAGAATATAAGCAACTTTAAAGGAAATTATTCATCACAAAATCACCTACTCATCTTCCATCACTATAAACAAATCAAGAAACCCCCAATAAATAGAAAATGAAAGAAAGCTCACCTCAGGAAGTTTAAAATGCGTCAAAATGGTATCACAAAATGGTTTCATAATAAATTTCATTAGGTCCCTCCATGTGCCCGAGTTCAATGTCGGAGAAGATGCACAACCTTCACTTCTTCTGGCAGCCGTAACTTCACGTTCAGATTTGGAGGCGGCGATTTGGTGCTTAGGGTTATTTTAATTGGAAACTTCTCTTTCTGCTCTTTTCGTTTCAATTAGGGACGTTTTGATGAAGGGATAAGAGGTGTGTTTTGGTGAGACACGATTTGCTAACTTGTCCTCCACGTTGGCATCTCAATTAAATTATTGACGGAGTTAAATGCCACGTATTAATTCCGCCATCCACGTAAGCGAGAAGAAAAAGGGTATCCGTCTGGTGAGTGATGGAGGGCAAAAGTTTAAAGTTGAGTGGCCAGTGAGAAGCATTGTGAAATTTGCTGAGTAAGTCGTGACATTAGTCAAGGTTCAGTGACTTATAAACATTTAACTCCTCAATAAAAGACATAGTTGACTTTTAACTCATATTTTCTTCTCTTCTTGTTCTATTATTTTTATTTCATAACACATTATCAGCACGAAATCTTAATTCTTCAAAATCTAGTGAAAATAGTAATTTTTTAAAGCATAATCACATGTACCAAAATTAATTTGATGGCATTTGAATTTTTCTACATTCATGTGCATCAAAACGAGCATGTTGCTACTTCTTTACTTTCGTTTCTGTGCATTAAAAAATGCTTGTCAATTCGTGCCTAATCAAATAACTCATAATGATTTTTGTTTATACATTTCAATCCATGTATTATTACACAATCCACCATCATTGTGTCCGTTTGCGTATCTGTAATCTTTTTTTTTTTGCTTGTTTGCATGTTAATCAACTGAGATTCATGTCTGTAATTGAACAAAAACCATATATTTAATGAATTCACACCCGTACATGTTTGCATTAATGAATTCACGTCATTATTCTTTTTTTTGGGTGTAATTAGTTTCTATAATTGGTTTCTAACTTATTATGTTGTTGTTCCGAAAGTAGCACAACATTATAATTAATATTTTTGAAAAATATTCCTTACTCTTGAAGAGCATAAATTATATTTATCAATATTTCAGAAGAATATTGACATATTACTCTTCAAGAAGTGATAGTATGATACACCGTGTTCCCGAAGCAGCACATATTTTGAAGAACGTGTTATTTTAAGTTCATGTTTATTCTCGATGGAAAATACGTAACTTATGTCATGTTGATATTGACTACTTGATGTTTAATCATATTCTTTGAAACTAATTGTATTTCCTTTTATTTTATTGTGGAGTTAATCAAATGGCAAATATCACAAAATTTGCGTTTGCCGCACCTGACATATTTGGCAAAAACTATTTGTTATGGGCACTCGATGCTAATATCCATCTTGTTTAAAAAGATTTGTGAGTGACAATAGAAGAAAGAAAATAAGTTTTATTAATATTCAAGAATAAATTTATCGCTCCAGAAGAGCATATAATTCAATGTTTCAATATTCTCAAAGAATATCATACTAGTGTTTCTGAAAAATAATAGATCTTGAAATACTAATAAGATTTAAAATGGATTATCAAGATATTTGTTTAGTAGATAGTGCAAATATGCACACAATTTTTCAAGATAAAAGTACTTATTAAATAACATTAATATGATATCAGGTGTATCGAATATCACTGAAAGTTTCAGAAGAGCTTGTATTATTTTATCAAATAATACAAAATTATATATTAGCAATGCATTTTATTCTAGCAAATTTGGAAGAAATTTACTTAGTTTTAAAGATATTCGATGAAATGGATATCACATTGAGACGATACAAAAAAATAATGTTGAATATCTTTACATAACTACTTTTGTATCTAACCAGAAGCAGATAAAAGAAAAAGTTCATACACTTCCATCTAGCATGTATTATTATGAACTATAAGTTTGTTGATCCAAAAAAATTTATACTTTGACATGATGGACTTAGACATCCAGGAGTTATAATAATGCGTCGAACAATAAACAACTCACATGGACATCCTTTAAAGTACCGAAGATTCTTTTACTTAATAATTATCCATGTGTAGCTTATTCGCAAGACAAGTAGTCATTAGATCTTTGACTTCAATGGTCAATATTGAATCTCCAACTTTTTTGGAAAGAATTCATGGAGATATATATGGGCCAATATACTCACATGTGGACCATTTTGTTATTTTATGGTATTAATTAATTATTTTATTGAATGGTTACATGTTTACCTACTTTTCACTAGGAATGTAACTTTTGTTAGACTAGTTACTCAAATCATAAAATTACGAGCGCAATTTCCCGATTACTCAATCAAGAGTATTCGTCTTGATAATGCTGGTGAATTTAGATGACAAGTATTCGATGATTATTGCATGTCAATTGAGATTGTTATTGAACACACGGTTGCACATGTCCATACACAAAATGGTTTAGCGAAATAATTTATTAAACGTCTACAACTTATTGATAGACCATTATTTATAAAAACAAAACTCTTAACTTCTATTTGGAGTCATAGCATATTACATGCTGCATCATTGGTTCGTATCAGACCAACTGCATATTCTCAATCTTTACATTTACAACTAGCATTTGGTCATGACCATAATATTTCTCACCTAGTACCTTTACAACTGGCATTTGGTCATTACCTAATATTTCTCACATACAAATTTTTGGTTGTGTTGTTCAAGTTCCTATTTCACCCCCACAACAGACTAAAATAGGTCCCCAATGAAAACGTGGAATTTATGTGAGTTTTGATTCACCGTCTATTATTAGGTATCTCAAACCTTTTAACGGGTGATTTATTTACTTCACGTTTTGCAGATTGTCATTTTGATGAAATAACTTTTCCAACTTAGGGAGGGGAAAAACTACATTCTGATAAATAAGGTAAATTTTTTTATAATGAAACAACTATATCTCACTTTGATCACCATAACAATCAATGTGAGGAAGAGGTTAAAAAAATCATTCATTTGCAAATAGTTGAAAATCAATTACCAGATGTATTTGTTGACACAAGAAAAATGACAAAATCATATATACTAGCAGAAAATATTCCAACAAAAATTGATATCTCTGCAAGATAATTTATTATAGTAAATGAATCTCAAATATGTCAAAAGTGTGGTCGACCAGTTGGTTCAAAAGACTTTGTACCTCCAAAAAGAAAAGCACACAAGAAAAACCAACCAAAAATTTCAAAAGAAGTAACATTAGAAAAAACTGATCAATCAAATATTGAAAATATGGTTCTTGAAGAACCACAAGTGTCCGAAAATAATCTCATAAATTATGCGAAAGAAATAATGTTGTTATAGACAATATTTTTCGCATTTAACGTAACTCTTGATATTTTAC